GGGGAGGGGGGAGTGGGTGGGGAGAGATTAATCAAAGACCTCATATGCTTATAAGCATAACCCATGGACACAGACATTGGTGTGGGGAAAGCCTGGGGGTGGCATGGATGTGGGGTGGAGGGGATCATGGGGATAAAAAGGGGGCATCTGTAATATTCTCAACAGTAAAGATAAAGAAACTTTAAAAAAATCAAAAAAAGAAAAAAAGAAAAGAAAAAAAAGAGTTGCCACTCTCTTCACACATCGCCAAAACAAAGGGTATTAGGCTAACGGATATATGAAAATCTGAAGGTGAAAATATCTCAGTGGAGATTCAATTACCTTTTGTCATCGTGTGTGCTCTTTTGCATTTTTTGTCATTTAAGAAACATGGATTACCTAGGAACAGAGTTGTTCATTTTCTTATTTGTTGTTAGGGATCTTTCTGAGTAATATCTAAGCGACAGATATAGATATACTACACATTACATTAGTATTTTGTCCAAGGTATGCATACTTTTCCACTTTGTTGTTTCAGTTGATGGTGATGGCCTATTCCATGCAGAAAAATTATTTTCAATTTTTCATAGTTTTTTTAATCATTATTTTCACTTACGGATTCTAAGTTTTGTGTCATGGTTAGAAAGACCTTCTCCAATCCAAAGTTACAAGAGAATTTTCTCGTGCTTTCTTTTAATTTTATAGGATTTTCTTATTCATATTTAAATATACAATCCATTTGAAATTTAATAGGGTGTAAAATGTGAGGTATGATGCCTGCTGTGTTTTACTCTAGATGCTTCCCAGTTGCCCATAATATTCATTAAATAGTTCATCTTCAGGCCTTCCATTCTAAAATGCCCATTCATCATAAACTGACTCCATATGGACATATTTTGATTCCTGAGACTTTCTACCTTGCTCTGTCAATCTCTCTGCCAGTTGGTATATTAACACAAAATTGTTGTTTTAACTGATCATTTAGAATAGCCTCTAATATCTGCTAATGCTGGTCAGTTCTCATTGCTTTCTCTTTTTTCAGAAGTAGTTGAGGGTTCTTTTCATTATAGGTTCTAATTTTTTGTAATATATAAGAAAACTATTGGTATCTGTAGAGGAATTTTGGTCCCAGCCATCTTTCTGAGCTGTCTTTAACCTTGATGATTGTCAGTTGGTTCTCTGGAGTTTTCCAGGAGGATTATCACACCTCCTGCCATTCTCTCCTAAGCCAACTCTTTCATTCTTCCAGCCTCACCATTCACTGGAACCATGCCTGTCACAATCGGCAATGGCTCAATATTACATATCCCACGTCTAATTCTTAGTCTTCATCTTACTGAGTGTCTCAAGTGGGACTGAGGCTACTGCTCACTCCCTTCTTTCCGGTCATGTTCTCAGTTCAGCCTCAAGATCCTGTGCTCCCCCACTTCACCCACTCCTTCAGTAGCTGCTTCCTACTGCAGCGCTGGCTGGGCCCGCCTCTCCTCCCAGGGCTCTGGGGGGCGGGGGGGCTAATGCTCAGTCTCACTCTTCACCCTCAACACTCACTCTCAGGGTGACCTCATCCCGCTCCTCTGGAATGCACAGGCACAGGCCAGTGGGTTGTTCATCACTGCCCCGACCCTGCCTGAAACAGTGCCTGGCACAGCACAGGCACACAGCAGAGTTGGGCAAACACAGAAATGAGTGAATAAGTTTTTCTCATTGTTTTAAATGCTTCATAGTTAAATTTTTTAAGGAAATGCTATGTCAATTTGGCTGCACCATGGGCACATGACAGGAAATCTAGGAGCTANGTTAAGGAAATGCCACCTAACCCTTTGGCTGCAGCATGGGCACATGAAAGGAAGTCATAAGAGCTGAGGCTGAAAATACTGGTAGTCCCAGATCATCTGAAAATAATCTAGCTAACAAATGTCATGAGTAGAGAGAGAGGGGTGACAGGTAGTGCCTGGGGTGTGCCAAATTTCTTGTCTTTTATAAGGCAACACAATATACATACTTGTTGATATTGATAAATCGAAACTAGAAATATAGTTTTATTATGCAAAGCTATAAAATAACTTGCAAAAGACTANAGTTTAAAATGGGAACTGTAAACATCAGTTGCTAATGGGGATTGATTTTAGGAGACACTTTACATTTCATTTTATACACTCTGGTGTCCTCTGAAATAAACTAATGTGCATGCATTATTTCTGGGAGTAAATGGAAACAGATCAGATTAGCCAGGCCATGCAGGGCCCTGAATGCCACGCAAACTCTGCTTTAGCTATGGAAGCGCACATTGCCTGGTGGGTGGGCCTCCTGAACAGGCTCACAGTGGGCAGCCACTGGCTCCACTTCAGCCACTGCTCACAGGGAGGGAGTGGGAGCGACCACTTGGGATAAGATGGAGAAAAGAAGAGAAAAGTCCTTGGAGTCAGGGCAAATGAGAAACATCTCGTGAGGTCCTTGTCTCACATCTCCAGAATCTCATTTGCCAGTGCCCCTTGTACAGGAAATCACAGGGGCTGCCCAGCATCTTGATAAGCCTCTCTTGGTCATCAGATTCCACCCCTGCTCCTGCAGACACCTCCGACCCAGGGGTAGAAAGGCATTCTCTGGTGTTCGGAACTCCCTGGAAAGCTCTTCTGTCTCGACTCACCACCTTCAACTACAAGATGATGCTCAGGTAAGAGTTGGCTCAGAACTATCNTGTCCCTCGTAGTCCACATGCTCATGACTGCATTTTGGGGTGGGGCATGCAAGGAGCCATGAGCACCCATCAAGGAGAGTCCAGACCCATGAAGGTCCCTCAGGGAAGCTTTGGGTGCTGGTAGCTGAGGCTGTGGGAGATCCACACTGGGCCAACCCGGTCCTTTCTGCTTCGCAGACATTGTTTCCAAACCTGAATTACTGTTAATAACCTCATGTTTCACAGATTAGCTTGCTGTTCAATGGGTTTCTTTATCTCTCTGCATGTTTGTTTATTTGCTTTTATCTGGCTTGGCCCAGCAAAAAACACAGGCATAAACTAATGAGTAACTAAGGCGAGTTTAATAACAGGACTGTGTACAAAGGGGTTTGCAGGACTGAGGGAAATCAATAAAGGATGCAGAGGTCCCCAAAGATAAGTCATAACAGGAAGCTATTGACATTTGCATCCTGACCGGTAGAGGCAAAGATAGGTTGCTAGACACAGGGAAGGCTGCGACTGTCGCTGTGGTCATCACTGTGACCTTAAGAAAAGCCACCAGACGGACTATGTCCTTAGGTACAGTAACACCACCATGGTCAACTCACAGCCTGACAGCAGAGACCCAGGGAGTTAAAAATTTCAATCACTCTCCTCCTGCCCTCCAATCACATGTCAGAGTCGCCCTTTCCTGAGAGCAACCAGGAGCCAGAGGGAAAGGGGGCCGAGGGGTGAGGCAGAGACATGACCTCCCAGGACACAGAGGAGGGTAGAGAAGCTGGAAATGAGATTTGATGGCAAGTGAAGAAAATCCATCTTTTCTTATCATCTTTTAACAGTTGGATTTCTTTGGACTCGGTCTCTCTCTCAGTATTTTCGATCAATTTCTCCTTGTACCTCCTTAGTTTGTTTGTTTGACTCTTTGCACCTCTCTATTTGCTGTCACTCCATTGGAATAATCTCTCACTATCATCATAAATGTTTTGAGAATAGAATGTAGTGTGTTTTTTAAAGGTAGGTGTACACTGTTATCAATAAATATTTTATGTTTATAATTTTGTCTGCTCTATGAGAAATTCCACTAGAAGATTGATTTAAACTGTGTCCTACACATGGTACAGTGGTGTTTCTAGCCACTGTACAGGAGAAAAGTGCTTCCTGTCTTCACAAAGATGACACACCTGGCCAATTCCAGCAAAAGAGAACAGGTCATACTCATACCCCTCATAGCAAGAGGTTGTGTTCCATTTATAACCCTAAACCATGATCTCCTTTCTGGAGAGTGATCATTCTCAGTGACTGAGATAGCCCAGACATCATGGATTCCCACTTCCAGCCCTTTAAAGGAAATCTCAGTCCCAGGTCAGACGTAACGCTGAGCTCAGAGTCCTGCGGTCATCCCACATTACCTGTCTAGACTATTCCCCTCCTGCCTCCTGCAGACATGACATGGTCTAGGACTGTGAGTGGAGGTGTCTGGACTACAGAAGATTCCCACGTCAGTCAAGGGTCTGTGTTGCAGTAGAGAGCCCCGACTCTAGAGTCAGAGAGAACTGGGTTTGAATCCAGCTTCCAGGACTCAAAGGCTGTGAAGCCTTCCATACCTTAATCTCTGCGAGCCTCCATTTCCCTCCTCGGTAGCACAGACAGTAATTTCCACGTGGCAGGATGGCCATGTGACCCCGTGATCATGCAGTAGGCGCTCAAATCTTCTTTCTGTTCCAGTGGCACCAATGCAGGATTCCCGAGCATGACTCCATCTGTCACAGCCTGGAGCACCGCACTCACATCAATCAGTGGAAGTGAACAAACTTTCAGAATGGAGACCTTAATCCTGGAATGGCTGACACTCACCATTGCCCTGCCCGGGCTGGCGGGAAACGCGGTGGTGCTCTGGCTGCTGGGCGCCCGCATGCGGAGGAACGCCTTCTCCGTCTACATCCTCAACCTGGCGGCCGCCGGCTTCCTCCTACTCTGCTATTACATCCTCGATGCCCTGGAGACACTCATCGAGCGCTTCTGTTTCATCTCCATATCCGTCCCGGACTTTTTCCTCACTGTGTCCGTCTTTGNTGCAGGTTTTTCATCCCGGTGTTATTCTTTTTCTACATCGCAGGCCTGAGCATTCTCAGCGCCATTAGCACAGAGCGCTGCCTGTCTGTCCTGTGGCCCATCTGGTATCGCTGCCGCCGCCCCAGACACATGTCAGCCGTCGTGTGTGCCCTGCTCTGGGCCCTGTCCCTGCTGCTGAGCACCCTGGAAGGGAACTACTGTGGCTTCCTCACTAGGGATCC